AGGTGCATAGAAAGAACTGGCAAAGAATAAGGCACCAGGAACTGATAGAATAAGAATTGAAATCTTTCAAGAAAGTGAGGCGGCACAGGAGGCACTCACTTATCTATACGAAGAAATCTGGAAGACAATTATCTGGCCGACTGATTGGAAGAGATCCATATTTGTGCCCGTTCCAAAAAGAGGTGACCCAATGGAATGTGGAAATCATTGGATAATCTCTTTGATATCTCACACGAGTAAACTTTTACTAAAAGTAATACAGAAACGGCTATAAGCATACACTGACAGAGAACTTCCAGGGGTTCAAGCCGGATTCAGAAGAAGCCATGGAACGAGGGATACCATTGCTGATATCTAATGGCTGGATCTTGGCTGAAAGCAGAGAATATCAGAAAGATGTTTACCTATGCTTTATTGACTAAGCAAAGGCTTTCAATTGTGTGGATCATGACAAGCTATAGACAATATTGCGAAGTATGAGTATTCCAGAACACTTAATTGTGCTTGTGAGGGATCTGTGCATGGACCAAGAGGCAGTTGTTCAAACAGAACATGGGAACACTGAATGGTTTAAAATTAAGAAAGGTGTGCGACAAGGTTATATTCTTTTACCATACTTATTCAACCTGTATGCTGAGTAAACAATCCGAGAAGCTGGGTTATATGAAGAATTGGCATCAGGATTGGAGGAATAGATTAACAACCTGCAATATACAGATGATACCACCTTGCTTGCTGAAAGTGAAGAAGACTTAAAATTCTCACTGATGAAGATCAAAGACCACAGCGTTCGGTATGAATTGCATTTCAATATAAAGAAAACAAAAATCGGCACCACTGGACCAATAAACAACATTCTTATCAACGGAGAAAAAAGACTGAAGTTGTCAAGGACTTCACTCTTCTTGGATCAACTGTCAACACTCATGAAAGCAGGAGTCAAGATATCAAACAACATATTGCATTAGGCAAATCTGCTGCACAAGACCTTTGGAAACTGTTGAAGAGCAAAGATGTCAGTTTAAATAGTAAGGTGCGCCTGACCCAAGCCATGGTATTTTCAATAACCTCATATGCATGCAAAAGCTGGACAATGAATAAGGAAGACCACATTAGAATTGATGCTTTTGAGTTATGGTGTTGGAGGAGAACACTGAAAGTGTCATGGGCTGCCAAAAGAACCAAAAGATCTGTGTAGGATGAAGTGCAGCCAGAGTGCTCCTTGGAGGCCAGGATTACCAAACTTTGTCTTTCATACTTCGGACAGACTGTCAGGAGGGACCAGTCACTGGAGAAGGATATCATTTTTAGTAAGGTGGAGGGTCAGAGAAAAAGAGGAAGACCCCAATGAGATGAACTGGCCAACTGGCAGCATCGAGGGACAATTGTGGCAACAGTAGTGAGGTTGGCCCAGGATTGGGCAGTGTTTCATTCTACTGTGCATAAGGTCACTATGAGTTAGTACCGACTCGGTGGCACCTAACAACAACAACAACAATGTTATGGGACAACATTAAGAACATCATACATGAAGAGACAAAGGGTCATTAAGAAGACAGGAAAGAAAGAAAAGACGAATGTGAATGTCAAAAAAACCTAAAACTTGCTGTCTGGCATAGAGAAGCTAAAGCAACTGTATGAAACGATGAAGAAAATGTCAACGGATAGCTCAAGAAAACAAAATCAAGTATTATAATGAAAGATGCAAAGACTTGAAGTTACAAAACCAAAAGGGAAGAAAATGCTCAGCATTTCTCACGCTGAAAGAACTGAAAAAAAAACAAACAAACCAAGCTTTGCATTGTTAATAATGAAGGATTCTATGGGCAAAACAGCGAATGAAGCAAGAAGCATCAAAAGAAGATGACAGGAATGCCTAGAGTGACTGTACCAAAAAGAATTGGCTGATGTTCAACCATTGAGGTACCATATGAAGAAGCAATGATGATATTGGAGGAAGAAGTACAATCTGCACTGAAGGCACTGGCAATAAACACGGCTTTAAAAATTAAAATCTTTCAACAAACTCATGCAGCAGTGGACGTGCTCACTTGTTTGTAACAAGAAATTTGGAAGACAACGACCTGGCCAACTAATTGGAAAAAATTAATGTCATTTCAAAGAAAAGTGACTCAATGAAATGTAGAAATCATGAGACATTATCATTAATATAACATGCAAGTAAAATAATGCAAATAATTCAAAAACAGTTACAGTAGTACATGGACAAAAAGCTTCCAGAAATTCAAGACAGATGCAGTAGAGGATGTGACAGAAGGGCTATCATTGCTGAAGTCAGATGGATTTTGGCTGAAGTCAGATGGAAAGCAGAGACCCCTAAAGTGATCTTTGAGTTTTATTTATTATACAAAAGCATTTGACTATGTTTGTTGTTTTTAAGTGCCATCGAGTCGGTTCTGAGCCATAGTGACCCTGTAGAGAGGGTTTCCTTGCAGTTCAAACCGACTTTGCAGTCTAGCACATTAACCCACAGCACCACACCAGGACTCCTTTGACTGTGTGGATCATAAGAAATTATGAGCAACATTGAAAAGAATGAAATTCCAGAACACTTAACTGAAGGTTCTTCATGAGGGGAACTTGGACATGGAACAAAACGTAGTCATTTAAATAAAATCAGGAGAGAGTGAATGGCTTTAAATCAGGAAGCTGTGTAATAAGGTTGTATCTTTTCACCATATTTGTTCAATTATATGTTGAGCAAATAATCTGAGGAGCTGGATTATATGAAAAAGAACGCAGCATCAGAATATGCAGACGACACAATCTTGCTTGCAGGAAGCAAAGAGGACTTTAAGTATTTACTGATGGTGAAAGCCTTCAGTTTGGATTACAGCTCAGTGCAAGAAAATGAAAAATTTCACAAGTGAACCAATAAATAGCATTATGATAAATGGAAAAAAACATGGAAGTTATCAAAGGCTTCTTTCTGCTTGGAACCACAATCAACATTTATGGAAGTAGCAGTCAAGACATCAAAAGGATACATTACATTAGGCAAATCTGCTGCAAAAGGCCTCTTTAAAGTGTTAATGAGCAAAAAACGTCACTTTGAGGACAAAAGTGTGCTTGGTCCGTGCCATGGTATTTTCAATTGCCTCAAGCTAGATAATGAATAAAGAAAACTATAGAAGAACTGAAACATTCAAATCATGGTAATGGGCATAAAATATTGCAAGTACCATGAACTGTCAAAAGACAAACAAATTTATTTTGGGAAATATGCATCCAGAATGCTCCTCAGAAGTGAGGATGCCAGGACTTTGTCTCACATACTTTGAACATGTTATCAGGAGGGACAAATCCCTGAAAAAGGACGTTCAGATTAGCAAAAAAGAAGGTCAGCAAAAAAGAGGAAGATGCCCAACAAGATGGATTGACACAGTAGCTGCAACAATGGGCTCAAACATGACAATTGTGAGGATGGTGCAAGACCAGGCAGTGTTGCATTCTGTTGTACATAGGATCAACATGAGTAGGCACCAACTTGTTGGCATCTAACAACAAGAACAACATAAAATTATATCCAAAGAAAATAACTTTTAAACATTTATAAATAAATCTTTTAGGAATTAAATCTCAATTTAGATCTAGTTACAAATTATAGCAAGAATAACTGGCAACCAAAAATTTACTAGCAATGTTAACCAACCTTTTTATTTAATATTTTACCTGTTTTCTTTGCATAACCACACGAAAAGAAAAGCATCTAAAGGGAGTAAGTAATGTAAAAATGTTATCACTAGGTTTTCTGAATCTAATCAAAACAGTGAAGAATAAATATTGTCACTGAGTAATCACGTGGAGCTGTGGGTTAATGCGTCAGACTGCAAAACCATTTGAACTGCAAGGTCGGCAGTTCAAGCTCACCAGCTACTCCTCAGAAACCCTATACAGGGTTGCTATGGGTCAGAACCAACTCGACAGCACTGAACAACAACCTGTCTTCAGTTAGCTAACTGAAAGTCAACTCTTCACACCTAACTAAATACACAATAATCAATCACCATGCCTTTTCCTTCTTTATTTAGATTGTTCTTTATTTATTTATAAGTAGCATAAGGTCTAAGAGCTTAGGACATGATGAATTCATTTATACTGATGTTGTTGTTGTTGTTAAGTGCTGTGGAGTCGATTCTGACCCATAGCAACCACGTATAGGGTTTCCAAAGAGCAGCTGGTAAGCTTGAACCACCAATCTTGTAGTTCAAATGACTTTGCAGTCTTACGCATTAGCTCACAGCACCACACCAGGAGTCTTGTAGCGATACTTAAAATCTGGAGTGTTTATTCAAGTAGAATTAACCATTTACTTATCTTTTCTGGGTTGACGGCCCACCTACTTGTATTAATTTCATTAAAGTATTTTATCATTTCTAAGACATTTTCTATACAAGACAAGAGTATAATTTTCTAAAAAGACAAGAGTAATTTTATATATTAAAAAATAATCATTTATCTATATTAGAATAAATTCACAATAACCAAAAGTACCTCTGTTTTCTCTCAAAACAAGAAATGACTTTTTATATGAGTGCTGATGACTACTTCACAGTTTTATATTAACCCTATCCATTTCCTCTAGATTTTGGAAAATAAATACATTAGGTGTCAGCAATGCAAGTATCCATTTTTTTCTTTGGAGCTTCCTAACCCCTCCCAATTCACAAGTAATCTAGGCCTTTTTGGTTCTCAAGAATATTTTTCAAGTCTTTCTTACGGCATTTAACCTCTTTTTACTACTTGATTACATTTATTAATCTATACTTAAACGTTTTCCCTGTAAGTTGTTTAGCTGTTGAATCATATTTTATTCACATTTCAATTTTTATACTGCTTAATGAAATAATTTGCACAGAAAGCACAAAATATGCATTTGGCAATTACAAGCTAATTTATAACTGAAAAAGAAAAGCCTGAAATATACTAAAGTCAAAATGATTAAGCCTTAAGAACTCAGTCAGGAAAAATAGTCTCACCGTCTGTTTCCAAGGCCTCTGCTTTCTGAGAAAGGAAACTGAGAAGGCTGTTGAAAAGTAGCTCTGATGTCATCTAGAATCTTCAAATTCCCTGGTAGTCCTTCAGTCTAGTGGGTATCCTAAGAAAAGGAAAAGAGATAGCTTGACACCTGTTCCAAACCAGATTTTGGAATATCTGTTGTGAAATACTGAAAGCTTATCTCTGAATCTCTTCTTGTGCAAGTTCAAGGCAGTTGAAGTCATTTGGCAAGCAAACAGGAATTGTTTATGAATACTAGCTCATTGAAGGAAAGCAAGATGCTTCAAGAAAATCCAGTATGAAGCTGGTTGATAGTGTTTACTAACTTTTGCTAATTTCAAATTTTAAAGAGTGTTGTCAAATTAATCTAATTAAGTTACATCTTAAAACCTAGTTCCTATACCAAAGATGTATTTCAAAATGGAAAAATAAAAAGAGAGAAGAAAATAGTACATACAGTTTCTCTCACATAATTTTTTTTCATTTTCATAATACTAACTATAGAACTTTCCAACACAAAATTTGGTAATACATATTGCTAATGACCATTCAAGGGAGCGTAGTCGCTGTATAGGATAATCACTAGACTATGAACCAAAGGTCAGCAGGTCAAGCCCACCAGTTCCTCCGCAGAAAAAATTTAGGTTCTCTGCTCACACAATGATTTTACATCTCAGAAACCTTGCACAGGGTCACTATGAGTCAGAACCAACTTGATGGCACCTAATGATAACAACACCATGATCATCCAAAGAGTTACAAGAATATTTATAGCAGCTTTATTTGCAAAAGCCAAAAGCTGGAAAAAAACTCATATAGCCATCAGTAAGTAAATGAATTATAGTGTATCCTGACCATGAAATATTTACTAACTCACTACCAACAAGGATTATACAATGAAAATAATCAAATGGATGAGTTTCAAAATAATTGTATCAGTATAAGAAGCAGACAAAAAAGAATAAACAGTGTGTGGTTCCATTTACATGAAATTCTAGAAAATGCAAATTAACTTACAATGAGAAAAAAAGAGGTGGAATACACAGAAGTGGAAAGGAATATGAGGAAGGGATTACAGAGGGTCATTAACTTGGTTATGGTGCCGATTTCCATTGGTATATATGTATATGTCAAAACATATAAAACTGTACCTCTTAAAAATGTACAGTTTATTAGAGGTCAGTTACATTCCTCAGAAATCCTATACAGGGTTGCTATGAATCAGAACCAACTCAATGGTACTTAATAACAACAACAGTACTTTAGGGAAAGATAAGAAAATGTCAAATTCATTAAATGTTACAGGTCCCTTTCTTTACACAGCAATCCAAGTTGAGAAACTTATTCTACAAGAGAAAAATATCAAGGATATACACAAATATTTAGCCATAAGATGTTTATGGTAAACATTACTTCCAGTAAGAAAAAAAAGTTATTAAACATAAAAATTTTTAAATGGAGATTCATTATTTATAAATTATGGAATAACTATGTAAATTAAATTGTTATTTAAGAATAAGTTACATAAACAGATATACTATTACTATTACAAATTAAGTAATTACAAACAGACAACATTTCAGCATAATAACTTATGCATTGTTGTTGTTGTTATGTGCCGTGGAGTCAGTTCCGACTCATAGTGACCCTGCACAGGGTTTCCGAGGCTGTAAATCTTTACGGGAGCAGAAAGCCTCATCTTTCTCCCAAGGAACTGCTGGTAGTTTCGAACTGCTGACCTTGAGGTTAGCAGCTCGATTCGTAACCACTACACTACCAGAGCTCCTTAACTTATGCATTAAAACTATGAAAATAAATGCAGTAATTGCTGAACTGTGAACCACAATGTTAACAGCTCAAACCCACCAACAGCTCCTAGGAAACCTTGTACAGGGTCGCTAAGAATCAGAATCGACTCCATGGTGGTTAACAACAATTATTTCTAACTTAGGATGATGCTTTATTTCTAAGTTCATATTTTCTAATTTCTCTAAAATAATCATTTTTCTAATTGCTGTTGTTGTTAAGAGCTGCCAAGTAGTTTCCAAAGAATGGCTAGTGAGTTTGAACCACTGACCTTGCAGCGCATTATCCTGTAGCACCATACAACACTCCACTTTTCTAATAAGCAAAATCAATTAAAGGATGAAAAGAACAATATAAAACTGTCCACTCCCTAGTGCAAGTATAAAACAAACACTGCTAAGAGGTGGTGCACATTAACAGAATTTGGGGAGACTGGCTATCATGTCAGCCTTACTTTAAGCCCGGTGGCTCCATAAGATAAGCACTGGACTGCAAACCACAAAGTCTGCAGTTTGAGCCTGCCAGTAGCTCTCTGGGAGAACAGAGAGGCTTTCTGCTGCTCCCACAAAGATGTAAAGCCTTGGAAACCCTATACAGAGTCACTATGACTCGGAACTGACACCACAGCACTTATTAACAACAAATAACAGCAAATGTCATCCTCAGCAGCGACCTACCAAACAGTTGGGAGAAAGAGTCAAATCTAAGTAATCAGGAGTAATAAGTAACACACAAGCTTTATTGAGTTCTGGTGGCTTACTGGGTTATGCATTGGGCTGATAACTATATATCAGTTCAAATCCACCAGCAGCTCTGCAAAAGAAAGAGTCCGCTAGTAACTCTGTAGGAGAACGGTGAAAGAATGGTGAGGCTTTCTGCTCCCATAAAGATTTGAAGCTTTGGAAACCCTATACAGAGTCTCTAGAGTTGGTACTGACTTGAAGGCTCACAATCACCACGACCACCACCACCACATGCTTTACCAGTTACAACCTCATTTGAACTTCATAAATGAAATGAGCAGAGAATAAAGTATCTCATTTTATAGAGAAGAAACAAATACTGAGCAGAGCTATATATGTGACATGCCACAAATTACATATCCTTGACTCAGATGGAGCTTTAACAAAATTCTGATAGGTACTCTAAGAAGAATAGAGGACAATCACGTTATCTAGATATTTATAACTCAAAGGCAGCAAACGCATATGCGAGTTTAAAAAAATAACCATATTGACAATCATACTAATGTTCCATGAGGACATTTCAAATGTTTGTGGTAAAATGGAATTGAAGCCCCCACATATTAGAGTCTATCCAGGGCTTGGGAAATTCCTAAGTCCCTAGACTCCAACTTCTGAAGCTGTATCCAAGTCAATCTTGTCGTGTTCCTTTCAACATTACCTACTAAACCACTCAAAGGCTAGTAGGATTTAATGTAATTCTTCCTTATTGTTGTTGTTGTTAAGTGCCGTCGAGTCGGTTCCGACCCATAGCGACCCTGTACAGGGTTTCCGAGGGTGTAAATCCTTACGGGAGTAGAAAGCCTCATCTTTCTCCCGCGGAGCGGCTGGTAGTTTCGAACAGCTGACCTTAAGGTTCGCAGCCCGATTCGTAACCACTACGCTACCAGAGCTAAATAAGAATATATTTTGTTTTAAACTTGGAACAAGTAACTATACTTAAGAAAACTACAAAAAATGATCTACAAATTGTTATCAAAAGACTCAACTTCATGGAACTTTAAAATATGGTACTACCTAAGTCAAATGATCTTTTTTTTGGGGGGGGGGGGGGGGGAGGAGGAACAGGTGCACAAAAGAGAAAGTCTCCAAGCAGAGAAGAAAATTGTTGTTGTTAAGTGACACTGAGTTGGTTCTGACTCATGAGGACCCTGTATAAGGTTGCCTAGGAGCAGCTGGTGAGTTTAAACCGCCAACCTTCTGATTTAAACTGACCTTGAGGTCCAGTGCCTATCCTATAGCGCCACAGGTGTGCAGATGAAAGAGACTCTCCAAACAGTAAAGAAAACTACCAATGCTTAAAAAGAATAAAAGCAAACATCTAAAGAGGAGTCTTATTAACAGCTGGTCAGTATCTGCTGATAATTCCTTGAAGAATAAACTTCCCTGACAGCTACCACTTCCCCAAACTCCAGGAAATGAGATAATGTGTAAGTAATGATAGCTACTGCTTACTAGGTAGCTACTATGCGTCTGACATTGCACTAAGATTTTCAGATACATGATCTTCTTTAATCTTTTCAACAACCCTATGAAATGACTATTTTATACATGAGGAAACTAAGTTTAGGTATCTCAAATAACAAAGCTAAAAATATTATTGAAACATTCCAATTATTGAATTGGAATTCTAACCCTGTTATCTTTTACTTGGGGAAAAATGGGGGACCATAACAGTCCTCTGGAACATACATTTTGAATTTTCTCTAATATAGTACCCACCACAAGGTAGCATAAAACACTTGGTTTTGATATATACAGTTCATGAATCGCCATTCTGCACATATTTAATTGAAAGTATCACAAGCACACAATTTGTGTCTGATATTTTAACACATTCTAGAATTATTTCCTTTAATGATATGTCTCTATTAAAGGGACACTGAATGGTCTAAAATCCAAAAAGATATGCAATCAGGATCGTATTCTTTCACCATACTTTTTCTATCTGTATATTGAGCAAATAATTCAAGAAACTGAGTTATACGAAGAAAAATGAGGCATCAGGATTCAAGGAAGACTCATCAACAATCTGCGATACGCATATGATACAACCTTGTTTGCTGAAAACCAAGACGATTTAAAATACTTACTGATGAAGAGCAAAGACCACAGCCTTAGGTATTGGTTGCACCTTAATATAAAGAAGGCAAAAATCCTCACTACTGGACCAATAAGCAACATCCATATAATTGGAGAAAATATTGAAGTTGTCAAAGACTTAATTTTGCTCAGATCAACCATCAACAATCATGGAAGCAGCAGTCAAGAAATTAAATGATGTACTGCATTAGGCAAATCTATTGCACAAGGATCTCTTTATTCAAGAGCAAAGATGTCTGTTTGAGGACTAAGGTACACCAGATCCAAGCCATAACATTTTCAACAGCCTCACGTGCATGTGAAAGTTGGGTAAAGAATAAGGAAGGCCATAGAAGAATTGATACATTTGAATTATGGTGTTTGAGAAGAATATTAAAAGTACCATGGACTGCCAGAAGAACAAACAAATCTGTGTTGGAACCAGTACAGCCAGAACTTTCCTCGGAAG